AGGGTCTCACTCTGTCACCCAGGCTGGAATGCGGTGGTGTGATCATGGCTCACTGCAGCCGCAACCTCCCAGGCTCAGGTGATCCCCCCCCTCAGCCTCCTGAGCAGGTGAGACCACAGGTGTGTGCCACCATGCCTGGCTAATTTTTATTTTATTTTTTATAGAGACAGGGTTTCATCATGTTGCCCTGGCTGGTCTCAAACTCCTGGGCTCAAACGATCTGCCTCCTTGGCATCCCAGAATGCTGGAATTACAGGCATAAGTCACTGCGCCCAGTTTATGTACTGTTTTTACATTCTTAAAGAAGAAAAGTAAATTTTTGATTTGAAAATGGTGACATTTCATTATGACCTTGCTTAGCAATTACTGGCACATTTAACTCAGGATGATTATGAAAAATATTAGCTGGCACTTTTAGATCTTTCCAGGAATTCCTGAGTAAATGGGTCCAGCTGCTGACAGCACTGTCTCCTGCTTACAGGACTTCAGGCCCCTCTGTAGCTGGTCTGGAGACAACATATACAGGAGGTAATGGCTTCTCTACTTCATATAACAGCCAGCGGTGGTTAAACCTCTATCTGTCTGCTTGCAAATTTTTGGATTTGGCTCTCGCATTGCCCTCTGAAAACCTTCCTCAGTTTCAGATGTAAGTAAAATCAAGGATATTAAATGTGTATTTTTTAAAGTGCATTTGCTTTGGTCACTGACATTTATGACTAATTAAAAAGTTGTTTGTGTAAGTTGAAATATTCATAATTTTTAATGTAATTCTTTTGCCACAGCACAGTTATTGGAAGTAAATGGTTGATGTGGATACATTAACAGGCTATTGAGACAGCAGATTGAATACCCTCCAGTTGTAAGACAATAGGGTACATAACACACATGCTTCAAGTCCAGGGAAAGAGACATACGGTTCAACACGTGATAGATACTATGGTAGCTCACGTACAAGACACAGTGAGGTCACATAGCAGAGACCCCTACTAGCTCTGAGGGTCAGAGCAGGCCCTGAGGGGAATCTTAACTTCAGGTGGTAAAAATTGACAACTGGGAGGAGGCACACCTCTGAAGACAGAAGCAGGAGCAGACATGATAAGTCTGAAGTGTGGAGAGATCAGTATTGCTGGAGCAGAATGTTGAGACAAAACTGGAAAGGAACTAAACCATGTAAGACCTTCTTAGCTGTGTTAGAGAATTTGGACAGCTAAGGAAGGAAGTGATTTTGTTAGGCTTGAATTTTAGAATGCTTATTTTGCCTATGTAATGTGGAGAATGGACTGGAGATGGGCAAGACTAGAATGAAGGAGGCAGTTTTATCTTAGATGATAATGAATTGAACTGAAAGGAATAGAGGAAAAGTTAATAAAATTCTCACAATGCCTTGGTTCATAAGTGGCAAAAATATTTTATGGTTTTTCATATATAAATTTTAAAGATAATGGGCAAGCTATATAAGATTGTCTTATCAAAATGTAGCTAAGGTAATATGAGAATTTATCCACAAGATCAAATATGTATTAATATGATTTATTATATTGTGTCATATTTTTCTTCTGGAATGGAAATAATAGGATGAAAAGTATACTAGAGCTTTTTCTCTTTTTTATTTGGACATGTTTCAAAATTTGTTGTTTCACAAGCTTTTCATTACACTTAATGGTAAGAACTAGAAATTACTTTTAAGAGTTAGTCTATTTCCTTTCTCTCTTCTACTTGAAAACCATATATATCTATGTTTTGATGAATTTCATTGGTTGGTATCTGTTACACAGATGTTACTCCTAAGGAAGTCCAGAAAAGAATACTAAACAGAATTGTAGGAAAATGGCCAATATTAACCAAGATACTTCACAAAAGTGATAGAAACTATTCTGTGGTGCTTTTTGAGGGACATTAAATAGTATGCTCATGATACCGACTTTTTACCTTTCATGACAAGAACCAAAATGAGTTTATCCTCTTGTCAAGATGTTACTACAAAAGGGAAGGAAACATGCCATTCTATTAACTAGTTTATTAAAAACTTTTGTCTTGGCCGGGCGCAGTGGCTCAAGCCTGTAATCCCAGCACTTTGGGAGGCCGAGGTGGGTGGATCACGAGGTCAAGAGATCGAGACCATCCTGGTCAACATGGTGAAACCCCGTCTCTACTAAAAATACAAACAATTAGCTGGGCATGGTGGCGCATGCCTGTAATCCCAGCTACTCAGGAGGCTGAGGCAGGAGAATTGCCTGAACCCAGGAGGCAGAGGTTGCGGTGAGCGCGCCATTGCACTCCAGCCTGGGTAACAAGAGCGAAACTCCGTCTCAAAAAAAAACACAAAAAAACAAAAAACTTATGTCTTTCTAAAAATAAAAACCTATAAAGTAGAAAATGTGAAGATTTTAATTATCTTGAAAAAGTAGTATCTTAGCATGATCCATATTTGGAAAGTTCAAAATATTTGATAAGTTTACTATATGTAAGTTTAAAAGTAGCCATGTAACTAAACGGTATTATAAAGTTTGAAAGATAGCAATGAATTGGCAAAAGATATTTTTAATGTATATGACACAAGTCTAAAATGCTTTATAAAAATAACCTGGTAGAAAAATGGGCCAATGAGCAACACAGTTAATAATTTATAGGATGGTTTCTAAACATAGGAAAAGCTGCTCAGTTGCTCTCCTGAGTTTCAATTAAAATTACAGATAACCATCAGAATAGTAAAGATCTGATAATGGCTTTCATTTTACATTTAGTAATAGAAGCATTCTTACTCTTGTTGGAAATATACACTGATATTGTCCAACATTGTTCAGAGATTATATTTACCAAAATTTAAAATAGATATTTTCTTTAAGCCTGTAATTCTGCTACATCGAAGGATTTATCCTGCCTCTATACTCTCAGATATGCATAAAAATAAGCATTATATAAGGGTATCCACTGTGGCACTTTTCTAAGTGCAAGAGACTGGACAAACTAGGAGATTGGCTGTGGTGTGTACTACTATGTTGCTGTTAAAAAGAATGAAGTTTTATATGATGCAGAATTATCTCCAAGATAATTAACATCAAATAAATTACATCAAAAATATCCTACATGTATGATTAAATAAAAACAGGCAGCAATCATTTTTTTTTTTTTAAAGGAGAGGGTTGGTTGTGTGAGTATGTACTCTTCTGGGCATAAACTCTCTGGAAGGACTTAGGAAGCTGACAACATTGATGGATCCTGTGTGGGGAGGGAGACTACCTTTCTTTGGTATGCCCTTTTATACTGTTTGAATTTTTCCCATGGTCAGATATTATTTAGTTATTAAAGACAAAAACAAAAATACAAATGTAAAAAAGTCCTACTTACAGTTTTCTTAAATTCATTCAATTTTTTTACTCCTTTACTGTGCAGTTAGGGAACATTTGGCCAATTATATGTTGAAAAGTCAAGTCTGTCAGACTGTTACGTTACAGTACAAAGAGATAATAAGCTATATGAAAAAAATTTCCTTTTAAGGACTTTTTGCCTATTAGCTAATGAGAAAAGAAACATTTGTTGAGTACTTGATTTGTGCTCATGAAAAAAGTAATGATGAGAGTACATGACAAGTTTTCATATCCTTTATTCCTTACAACCCTATGAGGTAGTTAATAGTATCTTTATTTACTGATTAAAGCTCAGAGAGTTGTTAAGAGACACCCAAAGTGACAAGGCTACAAGTGGCACAACTGGCATTTGGATTTTTATAAGCAGTGGGGTCATGATCTTTCTACTACATTATGTGGCCTTATGTTAGATGGCATAAAGTCTGTCTTACTGATGCTGATGTCATTATTCTATACATAGGTACCGATGGGCCTTTATTCCAGAAGCCTCAGATGATTCAGGTTTGGAAGTCAGAAGGCAGGGTATGCATCAACGAGAATTTAAACCTTACGTGGTACGACTAGCAAAACTTCTTCGGAAAAGGGCAAAGGTATTGCATTTTTTTGTGGTTGTTTTGTTTTACATTACTACATGTTGCATTAGTGAAGTATTTATTAAATACTTCATGGGAAACTGAGAACATTATCAAGTTCAGCTATTTTGAAAACAAGTCCCCCATTTTGTGAATTAATGTCCATAAGACTCATATTTCTGGACATTAGAAAACATGTATTTTAAAGGAATATGTGGTTATCATTTTTTTAAAAAGAAGAAAAAGGAAGTCTTTTCTACATTAATAATATCTACCTTAAAATATTTTCCTCTCAGAAAATAACTTTGGAACTATACACATGAGTACTTAAGACTGTAATCCTGAACAGTGTTCATGTCAAAAACTTGAGAATATACTATATTCGTAGTGTTCATCTTAACACCATGATGAGAAACAGGAAAATACAGCTTGAAAAAAATGCAATACAAAAGGGATTTTTAGAACCTGTCAGAGTTGTTTCAACAGAACTAATCAATGGGTGAGAAAATTATACATTTTAAATTTGTAAAAATTGAGTCACATTTCATTAAAATTGAATGAGCTAGACGTCAGTCCGAACAAAGGAAATAATCATTAGCATTCATTCTGTTTGTATGAAATAAAATGTATATGCTAAAAATTCATTTTCCAAGTGTTCTTCACTTTCTGACATTAATGCATTTCTTATCCTGACCCAATACAGTTATATAACCGAATCTAAAGTTTCACAAAACCATTCTTGCCCTTAATATGTGAGGTATTTTCCTTTTTGTAGTTCACAGTGATGATGCTGATTACAGAGCTGAAGACACACCCAACCTGCAGTTTTTAAAACATTGCTAGAAATTAAACTGGCTCTACGACTCATTAATATAAAGCATCTTCTTAGAGAAATTATATAAGGTGAAAAGTAGGAATTTACTTAAAACATATAGCACTAAAAATTGTAGGAAAATAAAACTTGTAAAATATATTTATATTGTGTCTTACATACTTTTTATCTTCCCTAATCATGCTAATTTATTACAAATCTTTGCCCAAGAACCTACCAGCAGTGACACTGGTATGCTCGCTATTGGGCCTTTGTTAAATTTTGTCAAATTTTCTTTTGCATTCAACAAATTTCAGAAACAAATTGTACAATTTAGGAGTGATCTTGGTTGTTTGGTGAGCTCTAGCTTGCAGTGTGTGCTTTGAGTGTTCAGATATTTTCCAGTATTCTGGAGTCCTTCTAATCAGGCAGCAGCTCTTAAAACTGAATTCCATAAACTATAGATACAGAATGGAAGAAAGTGATTAAAGAGGTTTTGCTGGAAGAAATTTACATGAGAAACTTGATTTAAATTCCCAGTTGCTTCTGTAGGGGATTAATAAAAGGACAGAGATGAGGATGAAAGCTGGGTCCTGAGTTTAGGATAGGACTTTGGTACTTTCACTTTGATATTTCAGAGTTTGGGCAAGTAATCATGACAGATCTAGAAGCAAATATGACCCTAGCCACATGTCCTTTGTTATACCTGCCTTTCATTAGTAATGAGAATTTTTATAAGACCCCTCTCCTTTATCTAAATAATAAATATGACAGTCTTTTGCTCAAAATTTGTCCCACAGAGTAAGAAAACTATTTGGATTGAAAGGCATCTTCTCATCCATATCACTTTAAACAAGGTCTTCATGGCCAAGCATACTTTTCACTGGAACAAAGGCTGTTTCTCCTCTTTCCTTCCACAGGACAAGGAGGAGGACTTTAAGACAGTGGTTTTGGAGGGATTGGAGATGGCCAAGAATCAGGTGAGGGTGGCTGTTTCATGCTTGTGATATGGCAGTAAAAGTTGCCAAATATCGAGACATAAACCCAGGTCTGAATGTCAACAAATACAAGAGGTAAACAGGAAGGAAGTCTTTTTTCAAGTGTAGATTGGTGAAGTCCAAGGAGAAATCATTTGTATGGAAATATTTGACTTTAAATACTGAAATGATAGATATAGTTCTGATTAAGAGCATCAGAAGCTCTGAATCAAGTGTATTATTCTTGTCAAGAGCTTAATAAAAGTCTTGTTAAAGGCTCATCTTGGTAAGAATATAAACAAAAGGTTTCCCGATAGTTCTCTATATAGAGGGTGTAAGGATATTATTCATTTTCCTTCAGGATAAAGTCATCTCTGTACACTATTTTTGAATTGCAGTTTGATTTAGGGGATTACAGGCAGTATGGTACCAGTACTTGAGTAATAGTTGAAATGTGAAAGGCACAGGACTCTCATGGGTGCCAGTGTCAGTTAAGAAAGAAAGACAGTTTCATATATCCTATAATCTAGACTGGAAGTTAAATAATTACTAAGAAGCAAACAAGTGACAGCTATTGAGTTTTATGGTTTTTGACCAGAAACAGATAAAGTAGGTGATCTTTTCTTGGTTCACTCCTGGATTCTTCCATTTTAACGTAAATCTTTAGTTTGGTCCAAAAGTAACTGCGGTTTGGGACCTTGAATTTTAAATCATTATAACTAGGTTCAAACAAATCTTTATTAATCAAAATAGGAACCATTACAATCAACACATTTTTGCCAATGAGAAGTTTGTTTCTATAGCATAAAAGTCCATGCTTCCAAATTTGACGAATTCTTAGAATGCATTTACTGCATCCTCCTAGTTAGGGAAGCATTTTCCCTGCAGAAAGCTGTTGAGGTGCCTGAAGAAGTGATAGTTGGTTGGCAAAAGGTCAGAGGAATATGACAGATAAGGCAAAACTTTGTAGCCCAATTAGTTCAACTTTTGAAGTATAGGTTGTGTGATGTGTGCTCCAGCACTGTCATGGAAAAGAATTTCTGTTGGCCAATGCTGGCTGCAGGCATTGCAGTTTTTGTTGCATCTTACTGATTTGCTGAGCATACTCATCAGATGTAATGGTTTGACTTGGATTCAGAAAGCTGTAGTGGACAGCAGACCACCAAACAATGACCATGACCATTTTTTGGTGCAAGTTCAGCTTTGGGCAGTGCTTTAGAGCTTCTCAGTCCAACCGCTGAGATGGTCATTGTCAGTTGTATAAAATCCACCTTTTGTTGCAGGTCACGTCCAGTCACGAAATAATTTATTGTTGCACAGAATAGAGAGGATGACACTTCAAAACGGATTTTTTATTTTTCACTCAGCTCAGGAGGCACCCACTTACTGAGCTTTTTCGCCTTTCCAATTTGCTTCAAATGCTGAATGACCATAAAATGATCAGTGTTGAGTTCTTGCACAACTCTTGTAAGATGATCAGCTTTGATTGCTCTCAATTGATCATTGTCAATTGCTGATGGATGGCCACTGTGCTCGTCATCTTCAAGGCTCTAGTCTCCTTTGCAAAACTTCTTGAACTATCACTACATTGGATCAGAACTGTATGTTTGTTAGCAGTTCCTAGGCCAAATGCATTGTTGATGTTGCATGTTGTCTCTGCTGCACTATGACCAATTTTGAACTCTATGAAAATGACTCAAATTTGATTTTTGTCTAACATCATTTCTATAGTCTGAATATAAACATCAGTAAGTCATTAGCATAAAGTGAGAAATGCACTTAAAATGATGTATAACATAACCAAATTTACTTAAGAACATACTCCAACATAAAACGGCAAATTTCAACAATGCAAAAACCACAGTTTTACGTTGGCACCAACCTAGTATTTTCCTTTTTCAGGATTTTACTTTAACCAACAAGCTTGAGAGCACATAGAAGAAAATAAGCTGGATTTTGCATCTGCTTTACCCACTAGGAAACTAGTGATGATAAATTATTAGGTAAACAGTGAGTTTCTCAGCAACATCTGATCTTAGAAAGCAAACTCCATTTGTTAATAAGACAGATAATAATTCTGCTTCCTAAGTCTTCATGATTTCTTCCTTCTGTCTAGTTCACTGCTTATTTTCATTATCCTTAGTGTGGTGTTGTATCTGTGATTCTGCCCAAGTTCAACCAACCTCAGTTGTGTCTTCTCTAGACAGAATGATGTTTGTGGCTGTTTGTGTAATTCAGGTGGCTTCTTAAACTAGCCTCTTAATACACAAATTATTTGTTTATATTTAGTTGACAGAGTTTTCATATACCTTCTCATAGACTGTCCCATTTTATAAGTGAGGAACCTTTGTGTATCAGGGATGTCACAAGTATGGCAGAGTCAGTACACTAACCCAATTACTTTGACTCCAGGTCCAGCTTTCCTCCCTGTGTTGTTGAGCACAACCCAGAAGGCAAAAGCAGTGTCTCTCCTGAGGGATCCCTTCCTTTCTCTGTGATGCAGTACTGACAGTAATTATTCACTCTGGACACTGCTACCATCAAAGCAAATTTAGGCCATTTGGATAAATGGGAATTAACTAATTATAATAAAAGGGGATGTATAAAGCTCTTCATTCCTTTTTTCTGTAGTCTTTTTGTGACCTAGTCCGTGGTTACAAAAATCAGAGTTCAGAAACCTGGGAGCTTTTTAAGTAAATACAAAGCACGACATACAACTTTTTTGTTTGACTCTAGTCCTGTTCAAAGCTATTTCTGTTAACTAAGCTTATCTGTCCATTCTAGTTGGGAACTATTACTACAGTGTTAGACTGCTCCATATAAAACTAATGGATGGCACTAAAAGGTCTCAGAAGCACCAAGGGTTTTGATAAGGTCAGGAGTAGAAACTTAATGTCATTTGTATTCATTCCTTGACCAACTGCCAATGCTTATATCTTTTATTCTCACACAACACATTGTTAATACCAATTCACTTTTTGTTTTCTGCAGAAAAATCCAGAAGAAGACAACTCAGGAAGGACGTTGGGTTGGGAGCCAGGGCACTTGCTGCTCACCATCTGCACCGTGCGCAGCATGGAGCAGCTTCTGCCATTCTTCAATGTGCTCAGTCAAGTCTTCAACAGCAAAGTCACAAGCCGATGTGGCGGACACTCAGGAAGTCCCATCCTCTACTCAAATGCCTTCCCTAATAAGGACATGAAACTGGAGAACCACAAACCATGTTCCAGCAAAGCCAGGCAAAAAATAGAAGAGATGGTAGAAAAAGATTTTCTGGAAGGGATGATAAAAACTTGAGCACCACTGGTGATTCCATTTAGCTTACATGTAAATGTAATTATTTAAAACAAACACACTGCTCTGAGTTGTATAGTTTTTCTTTTTTTTTTTTTTTTTTTGTATGTAACAAAACACATTTCAGGTTGTATTTAATTTAAATATTTGTAAATAAGAGCAAATGTCCGAGCGTGGCCTGAATCAAGTTTAAATATTGTTGGCTCATATTGATTATGGTGCCTAAGAGAGCTATATATACACATGTAAAGTCCATTGTTTTTATTGTCCTGAGTTGTCTTAAACTTGCAAAATATACACTATACATTTTTTTCCATTGGTTTCAGGCTTGGTTTAATGTAAGATTGGTGGGGGATTTTTCTCTTTCTTTCCATTATTAACAGTGTTCTGATATCAGAGGAGTGGTGTCCCTCCTCCATCAGAGGCTGGGAAATGTATTACAATTAGTTTTTCTCCCACATACCTTCACCAAGAGCAGTGAAGAATAACTGAAGGCTGGACCATGCATCCTTCTAAGTATTGCACGAGCACCTCCACCTCAGTATGTAGGGGGAATGGACAACCTCCTCCCTATTCACACCTCTGAGTTCCTGATGGCATTAGTCATATAGGTAAGTCATCTAATAATCTTTAAGACTCTGCAATGGAAAAACATAACTGGTTATAAGTGTTCTCCACCCTCTCCATTTGTATCACAATGGGGAATGCTGTAAAACATCATCTTGCTCATATGATGGCAATGGCAAAGATGCACAAAGACTTGATAACAAGATTTAATTTTCCAGTAGCCTGCATGAGTTGTTCCCACATAAAACTGTATGGTTAGTGATTGAATTGTATACTTAAACCCAATATTTTACATTGGTGAGAATCAAATGAGAGGTATATTTCTTTAATAAGTATAAGGCTTACCTATTTATAAAGAATTATTCTGGTAGTGTTTTAACAATCAGACCTAGAGACAATCTAGTAGGGGTGCATTGTAAACAGTATGATAAATCTCTTAGTATTGCCATTATTATTGACTGCTTTGTAAAGACTTTAAAAAAGTCCAGTTTATCAGGATTATGAAAATCATCTTCAGAAACCTGGTTGGGGTCTTTCTCCAATTCCTCCAGCCAGCTGAAATACTGCCAAGCTCACTTCACATGCAAGGTGATCTGCACTTTCCTGCAAATTACATTAAAAGAGATTAGATGAGAAGGACATAGCATGTCTAACGTGCAAGACCATGTTACTTGGACCTCTGGGGGAGAGAGGGGTGATTCTTGATTTTGCTTCACTAACAAATTGTAATGAGAATCTTTTTTCATCTTTCAGTAACAAATTCCAAGTCCTTTAAAAAAAAATGGAAAACAGGCCAAATGCTTCCAAATAAGGTAAGTTTTTAATTAATTCATATCATAAAAATAGCTATCATTCCAAAACTGAAAAATTCAATATACCTTAGTCTACAATTGGCCTAACAGTAACTTGTTACTGCCTCAGTTGCCATTATCCTCATCCCACATGGATATTCATTCAACTCTGAAATGGCTTAAGCTTCTTTAAGAAAGCTGCCAGGCCCAGATGGGTTCACAGCCGAATTTTACCAGACATACAAAGAGGAGCTGGTTCTATTCCTTCTAAAACTATATCAAACAATACAAAAGGAAGGAATCCTCCCTAACTCATTTTATGAGACCAACATCATCCTGATACCAAAACCAGGCAGAGATTCAACTAAAAAAGAAAACTTCGGGCCAATATCCATGATGAACATCGACCCAGAAATCTTCAATAAATACTGGCAAACTGATTGCAACAGCACATCAAGAAGCTTATCCACCATGATCAAGTAGGCTTGATTCCAGGGATGCAAGGCTGGTTCAACCTATGCAAATCCATAAACGTAATCCATCACATAAACAGAACCAAAGACAAAAACCACATGATTATCTCAATAGATGCCGAGGAGGTCTTCGACAAAATTCAACAGCCCTTCATGTTAAAACTCTCAATAAACTAGGTATTGATGGAACGTATCATAAAATGATAAAAGCCATTTATGACAAACCTACAGCCAATATCATAATGAATGGGCAAAAGCTGGAAGAATTCCCTTTGAAATCAGGCACTAGACAAGGATGCCCTCTCTCACCACTCCTATTCAATATAGTATTGGAAGTTCTAACCAGAGCAATCAGGCAAGAAAAAGAAAGGGTATTCAAATAGGAAAGGAGGAAGTCAAACTGTCTCTATTCGGAGACGACATGATTGTGTATCTAGAAGACCCCATCGTCTCAGCCCAAAATATTTTCAAACTGATAAGCAACTTCAGCAAAGTCTCAGGATACAAAATCAATGTGCAGAAATTGCAAGCATTCCTATAAACCAATAGTTTATACTATCAAGAGCGAACACCCATTCACAATTGCTACAAAGAGAATAAAGTACCTAGGAATACAACTAACAGGATGTTTAAAGGACCTCTTCAAGGAGAACTACAAACCACTGCTCAAGGAAATAAGAGACGACACAAACAGATGGAAAAACATTCCATGCTCATGGTTGGGAAGAATCAACATTGTGACAATGGCCATACTGCCCAAAGTAATTTATAGATTCAGCACTATCTCCATCAAGCTACCAATGACTTTCTTCACAGTACTGGAAAAAACCACTTTAAACTTCATATGGAATGAAAAAAGCCTGCATAGCCAAGACAATCCTAAGCAAAAAGCATAAATCCTGAGGCATCTGATTTCAAATTATAGTACAAAGCTACAGTAATCAAAAGAGCATGGTACTGGTACCCAAACAGGGACACAGACCAATGGAACAGAACAGAGGCCCCAGAAGCCACACCCCACATCTACAACCATCTGATCTTTGACAAACCTGACAAAAACAAGCAATGGGGAAAGGACTCCATGTTTAATAAATGGTGTTGGGAAAACTGGCTACCAATGTGCAGAAAGCAGAAACTGGACCCCTTCCTGACACCTTACACTAAAATTAATTCCAGGTGGATTAAAGACTTAAACATAAGACCTAACACCAGAAAAACACTAGAAGAAAATTTAGGCAAAACCATTCAGGACATAGGCATAGGCAAGGACTTAATGACTAAAATACCAAAAGCAATGGCAACAAGCCAAGACAGACAAATGGGATCTAACTAAAATTCAGAGCTTCTGTACAGCAAAAGAAACCATGATTACAGTGAACTGGCAACCAACAGAATGGGAAAAAATTTTTGTAATCTACAAAGAACTAAAGCAGATTTACAAGAAAAAAAACCCATTCAAAAGTGGGCAAAGGATATGACCAGACACTTTTCAAAAGAAGACATATATGAGGCCAACAAACATATGAAAAAATGCACATCATCACTGATTATTAGAGAAATGCAAATCAAAACCACATTGAGATACAATCTCATGCCAGTTAGAATGGCGATCATTACAAAATCTGGAGACAACAGATGCTGGAGAGGATGTGGAGAAATAGGAACACTCCTACACAGTTGGTAGGAGTGCAAATTAGTTCAACCATTGTAGAAGACAGTGTGGCGATTTCTCAAGGAGCTAGAAATAGAAATTCCATTTGACCCAGCAATCCCATTACTGGGTATATATCCAAAGGATTATAAATTGTTCTACTATAAAGACACACGCACATGTATGTTCATTGCAGCCCTGTGTATAATAGCAAAGACCTGGAACCAACCCAAATGCCCATCAATGATAGACTGGACAAAGACAATGTGGTACATATACACCATGGAATACTATGCAGCCATAAAAAACGATGAGTTTGTGTCCTTTGTAGGGACTTGGATGAATCTGGAAGCCATCATTCTCAGCAAACTGACACAAGAACAGAAAGCCAAACACATGTTCTCACTCACAGGTGGGTGTTGAACAATAAGAAAATGTGGACTCAGGGAGAGGAGCATCACACACTGGGGGCAGTTGTGGGGGGTAGGGGAGGGTGGAGAGGGATAACATGGGGAGAAATGCTGGCTATAGCATACACCTAAAGTAAAATAAATAAATAAAATAAAAAGTGAAAAAAAAAAGCTGCCTGGTCATGTATAAATTACTTGGAAATGTCTCCTTCTGAGTCCCTATTCAGTGCACTTACTGTACTCTGCCCTAGCTTTGCAGACACTTTAAAGAGTATGTGAAGTGGGCAAGTAATAAAAACCCAGATGACAAGTCTTGACCCCTATCAGGAAAACAAAGGCACAGAGTTAGGCTGTTCATTTTTAAAGGAAATATTTTGTAAAACAAATCAAGAATCCAGAATGCTATCAGTTGACTTAAAAATGAACTACAAAGTTGGCTGTTTTCATAACATCACAAGATTATATTTTTAAAAGAAGAGAAAAGGATCATCTACCTTATAAAGCAACTGTTATTCCTGCCAGTTAAAAATATGACACTTTCAGGAAGATTAGAGTAAGTCAAAAATATTTGGGGAAATAAACTAAGTGGGTCTAATTTTGTTCAACTATATATTTACTGAAAATAATTTTGTAGTCTTAATGTGAACCTTAAAGGCTCAACAAAGTAAAGCCTTAATCATCACAGGGAGATTCTAAACACTATTAAAATAGTTTGCCTCCCCATCACCTAATATTAGGCTCTTTTTCAATAGAACTATCCTAGCTTACTTGTGAGTCTGCTTCTGCATATACTCGGACGACATCTTCTGTACCAGAAGGCCGGACAAAAGCTCGGGAAAGCTTGTACTTCTTCACCAGGTCATTGATTGTCTCCTGTAATCCTGGGGGTGTAACTGCTTGTCTTTCAGCATTGGTAGTGCTAATAACTCTTCTGTCTGCAACCTAAGTGCAAGCATTTCATATTTGTTACTAGATTCCACTTTTTTTCAGAAGCTTAACCTGTTAAATTCTACCAAAATATTTTCACAGTAATAGACCTACAATTCAATTTATTGTACCACAAAATACAACACTGAGATAGTAAAGTATCAGACTAAATATAAAATTACAATAAAACTTCATAAGTTATTTCTCCAAGGTCAGGGTAACTAATTTCAACATCTGTACAACTTTTCTCTTCTTCTTCAGTCTATAAAGAATTACCTTTAGCAAAAAAGTATTTCCACAGACGCTTGGAGTTACCACTAAGATAATGGCTAGTAAATATAGTATGACCTTAAGTACCATTATCACACATAAAAACAAGGTAAGTGGCCCATTATATAAGACTGATGGGAATCTCTTAACTATGCCAAAAATAATCTGAACAATCAACAGCCATTTCTGGCTTTCACAAATTCTGTTGCTGTATAAACTGGCATAAACATGTACAGAAATCAGTTAGCAATTTATTTGAATTATCTCCCTCAGGAAGTACTCTGTGAACTAAACATAATGCAGAGGAAGTACTTTCACTTGAAATAACAGGGTATCTGAATTTTGCTTCAAAATAATGTTGGGGCCAGGCACAGTGGCTCACACCTGTAATCCTAGCCTTTTGGGAGGCCCAGGGAGAAGGATCACTTGAGCTCAAGAGTTTCAGATCAGCCTGGGCAACATCATGAGACCTTGTCTCTAAATAAAATATACAAAAGAATATTGGGTGGGGGTATGGTGAATGTATAGGGCAATAACTGAAATCTGTTGAAGCTGGGTACATAAAAGTTCACTGTTTTGTTTCTCTACATCTATTTTTAATTTTCCATAATAAAATCTTCTTTTAAAAGTGATGCAGTCGGGCCGGGCGCGGTGGCTCAAGCCTGTAATCCCAGCACTGTGGGAGGCCGAGGCGGGTGGATCACGAGGTCAAGAGATCGAGACCATCCTGGTCAAAATGGTGAAACCCCGTCTCTACTAAAAATACAAAAAATTAGCTGGGCATGGTGGCGCGTGCCTGTAATCCCAGCGACTCAGGAGGCTGGGGCAGGAGAATTGCCTGAACCCGGGAGGCGGAGGTTGCGGTGAGCCGAGATCGCGCCATTGCACTCCAGCCTGGGTAACAAGAGCGAAACTCCGTCTCAAAAAAAAAAAAAAAAAAAGTGATGCAGTCTTTCATAGTATTATGTAATAAAGTTAGAAACCAAATACTTCTCACACAACAGAATGGTTAAGTAAATGAACTTACTCTATAATTTTTTTTAAGCTATAAGAGGATACAGTTAGCCATCACAAGGCCTTATTTTCTACGTATTATGTGTTAATGTATAGAATGACGTATACTTAGGAAACATTTGTCAGCCAGATATAGTAAGAATTGGGATAATAGGTTTTACTTAGCTAATATTCAGAGAAGTTATTTTACAGTTTGTTTCTTTCACACCTGAACTTTAAGTTGTCTGTTTGGAAGATCTGTATAAAGAGCATCCCACTGTTGTACAGTCAAGCCCTTCAGAGCCAAGATTGCCTCAATCACCAGCATGTCAGAAATCGCATCACCAGCTGCCTGCAAAATGGAGAAACAAAGGAAAGAAACCACTTAACACAAGCAAATCTTGGAAACTGTTGTTTTGTCTTAGAAAACCAATCAATCACAGTACGTGTTGAACATCATGAATCTGAAACATTTTAAGCACCAAAATAATATCACAAGTGAAAAATTCCACACCTGGCTGCCTATGACAGGTCTGTCAAAATGCAGGTACACAACTGCCAGGTATGGTGGCATAAACCCACAGTCCCTGCTACTCAAGAGGCTGAGATGGGATGATTACTTGAAGCTAGGAGTTTGAGACTGCAGTGTGCTGTGATAGTGACTGTGAATAGCCAGTGCACTCCAGCCTGGGCAACATAGTAACACCCTGTCTCTTAATAAAAAACAAATGTACTCCAGTTCAAAACCAGCCTGGCCAAAATGGTAAAACTCCACCTCTCTTAAAAATACAAAAAAAAAATTAGCCAGGTGTGGTGATAGGCACCTGTAATCCCAGCTACTCGGGAGGCTGAGCAGAAGACTGGCTTCAGCCTGGGAGGCAGAGATTGCAGTGAGCTAAGACTGCGCCACTGCACTCCAGCCGGGGCAACAGAGCAAGACTCCATCTCCAAAAAAAAAAAAAAAAAAAAAAAAAAAAATGGCAGGCCCACAGTTTATTCAGCATCCCCAAGAGAAGAAGACCCTCTCAACTTCCTTCAGCTATGACATATCCTTTCGATGCATGCCAGATATGTATCGTATTTTTTACTATTAAATACTTGTGAGTAAGTGTTAAAAAAAAAAAATGAGTTTATTGATAGCATATAAAATTCAGTCAGGAATGATGCTAATGCCAAACCACCACAGATTGTCCAATGGGTGGCCGAGAGTGACACCTTTGCTTTCTCATGGTTCAGCAGACATGTTTCATGCACAAAATGTACAGTATTCTATGAAATCACCTTTAAGCTTATGTAACATATATGAAACAAAGAATTTAGTCTTTAGACTTGAGTGCCATACCCAAGATGTCACATTATATATATGCAGATATCCCAAAATCCAGTGAATCTGGAATTTGAAACACTTCCAGTCCCAAGCATTTTGGAAGGATACTCACCCTGTATACTGTGCTTTCTCACATGCAGCATGATTAACTGAAGTGTTTTTGTGGACGGATGAATACGAATAGTGAGGTAAAAATCTCCATGGAAGACAATGAAAGGTATACAAAGAATACTGAAAGTAGCTCTTGAGAAATTTGCCTTTAGTACTCCTTATCTATGAAATGAAGTTAGACTGGATAACTCTAAGGCTCAGCCTAATATTCCATCCTTCATTTTTCTTTATAATTAATCCCTTTTGAGATATTACCCCACAACAATGGATAGCATCATGGTAAAATGGAGAAACATGAGCTTTGGTGTAAAAGACATAACTGAAGATAGACCTCATTTTTTACCCTATAGTAACTCTCTCAGCCCTTGTTTCTTCACTTATAAAATGGGAATTACAGTAACACCTCTCCCTGTGTTACTGCAAGGATTACACAATAAGGTATATAAAGTATCCAATGTGTGCAAGACACTCATGACTGAATCGCTTTCCTCCATCCTGAGTATCGAACGACACTCCAACCCCAACTTATCTAACCCACATATATGTCCTTTGTCAATGAGACAGCCAGTTATTTTTACTGAATTTCCTCGAGGTTTGGTTAAAAAAATTTAATAATATGTATGTATACACTCAGTAGCTGGATCTGTGATCCTAGGTAGAAGCTACCCAATATACTTATTTTTCCATCATAAGATGTAGGGGAAGGGAAGCATATTAAAAATGTTCTGTCATTCCATTTCAGTATAAATCTCAACTGAATATAAGCACTATTGCAAGGAAGCCACCAGGATGTCTCCACATTAATTTTGTGTGCAGCCACACTCTGTTCTGTCCATCTTCTGAATAACGTAAAGGTAACCAAGAGTCCCCTGCCCCATCAGTTCTTACCTGGTTAAACAAGTCAATAATGTTTTCAAGCATCTTAGCAGCTTTTCTTTTCTTTTCCTCCAGTTGTTCTGATTGTTTTATCTTCATTTCAACAGCTGTACTAAACAATGCCTGCAGCAAAAGCATACAAAATCATTCTCAAAACACTATCCAAGCCCTAATCATAAGTTCTATTATTCTACCCAGCCCACTTTTCCGTCTTAGTCAATCTGGAGAAAATGAGGGGAAAAATAGTGGGAGCCTTAAAATGTATGAAATTAATGTAAGATCACATGAGAACTCAAAGATAGTACCAGGGAAAAAATTTTTATTGTGGATTATATAACTGGTAATAAAAATTTAAACATGTGATTACAAAGAAAATACCACCGTGACAAGAGGTGAACACACACAATGAGTTCAGGTTTTCCCTTCAACCAGCTAAATCATTTCTGTGCAACCAGGTTACTTAGAGCCTGTCTGTATTCTTTTTACTTTGAAGGATATAATTCACTGCAGCTAATACAGTTTTATTCTAAAACTTAAAGGTATGAGCTAGGCAAAATTAGAGAGTTCACAATATTTATCAAAATATGGCGAATAGTGCCATGGATACTTATTACAATATATAATATAGATGCTTCTCAAGAGTCTCATCTCATTGGGAAACACCCATTTTTTTTTTTTTTTTACTGCCTTCAAGAGGCCTAAAACTAAGCAAGATTAGCATACTATGCTCAACTACTTGATAAAATACATTTTTCTTGATAAAATAAGGCACAGGCTAGTCACTTATTTTTGTAAAGTTTTACTGGAACACAACCACACCCATTAATTTAAGCTAGATCAGCAGAGTTGAGCAGCTGCATCAGAGACCTTATGGCCTGAAAAATCCAAAAATATTTACTGTCTACCTTTTAAAAAATAATTTACCAACTTCTTCTACTAGATCACTGAAGTTATATCTTAATAGCATTTTGTAGGAACTTATTTTTCCCCTTTTTATATTTATGCCCTCCAAAAGCCAGTTTTAAATTGAGGAAAATTATTTAGCTTACACTCAAATGTAAGCCACCCCAAGTGCATTCGTTAAATGAGGTCAGTATAAAAACATTTTTAAATAAGAACTATTTAACTATACACTTTAAAGTATAATTTTATGTAAAATGTGAATTTTACATTATATAAGTTGAAACGTTTTTCAAATACTGTCTGCTAAGAAAGCCATTAAAAAATTTCATATGCCTATCACTAGTTACCTTAAATTGATTTTCACTTCTTTTTATTAATTATCAACTTTCCAACACTTTGCAATTCACCATAGCTACTGAATTTTTCTTTTCCCCTTCTATGGCCAGTTGGAAAATGCAGACAAAATGCTTATAAGAAAATTAAGAACTGCAAATTTTAAACTATTCAAAACACCTTAGTATATCTCTTCACATTCAAAGAAGAATCATTATAATCTAACAGAGAATCACAGTTTTATAACACATCAATATATAAGATAACAGAATCTTTTTGTCACATCCAATTATTTCAACAAAGTACGGTATTACCTATTATGTCCCAGATACGGAAGTCTCATCATAAAAAAAAAGTGCCAGCTAAGGTCAACTGTAATCAAGAGAACTTACAGTGCCATGCCCGTTTGCTTCAAAATAAACTCCAATGTCAAACTCTTGAGCCTTGTGGTGCAAATGTTTTACACCAGTCTTAGTGCAATAGACAGGTACCTATAACACATGCATTTAAAGAAATACAGCAATTACTCAGATGTCAAATGTTTCTTGCATACCTAGTACCCAGAGATACAAGGGGCAACAAAACATACTGGAGCCGAGTCTACTGAGGAAGATGATTAAGCATTAAAACACAAAATGGTATGTATGAAGCACGAACGTACTCCAGAAGCTTGCAACCAAGGGTAAAGCACGGTGAGATGAGGGTCTCCTTATAAGACACGAAAGATTACAGTGGGGGTGTGACATGACCTAACTGTTTCAAAAAGCTGAGTTTAGCTACAGTGTAGAGAACAGCTTAGAGTAGGGTTCTGCAAGCTTTTTCTGTAACAGGCCAGACAGTAAATATTTTAGGCTTTGTAGGCCATATGGTTTCTGTCACAATTACTCTGCCATTATAGTGCAAAAGGAGCCACAGACCACACACATAAAAAACAAATGAACATAGATCTATAATAAAACTTTGTTTACAAATAGTGGCAAGTTCAATCAGAAGGTTAAGAAATGGAATCAGGAGGCTTCTAGTACTAATCCCAGTAAGAAATAGTGGCTGGATCGGCCACAGTGAATAGGGAAAGTCATGGATGGATGGATGGACGGATCTGAGAGAGCTTTAAGAATGGTTAAGAAAAGATAGGAGCAAAACTGCAAAAGAAAGATTGGCATTAGATTGGATGTAGGAGACCTCAGGAATGGCAAGGGCTGAAATATTTCATCTGGAAGACTGAGTTGAGAATGAACAGTTTCTTAAACTAGGTTGTTTTATCTATAATAAATTTTTAAGACAGAAAATGAAAAAACTAAACCCAAGTGCTGTGAAATAACCTAATCCCTGTGAAAGGGAGGCAAATAGGCCCCAGATGGAGTCCCTTGAATGAGTTTATTATAACCATGTATTAAAATCAGGTCACAAACTAGCAGCCTCAAGATATATTTCCTTTTGTCCAGCCACTGTTTCTTTTAAAAAAAGTAGAAAATTCACATGAAAATTCAGATTTCATGCTTCTCTTGAATAATCTGCCTACATTTAACATCAGCTAGCACAACTTCCCTGTTTTTAAGCACCTGCCGCCCTCATTTACTTTTCCTGTCCAAATCCTGCTTTCTAGAGAATGGAAAGGTAACTAGAGCAAGTATAAATGCCAGAACTTGAACCAAAATACAAAAAAGTTGGAAAAACGTTATATTCGTTAATGAGAAAAAGAGTAAAGGCAAACGGGCTTCCAGTTTTATCCGTTAACCCTGGTAACTCTCTGAACAAGCAGTGTGGTGCCCGAGGGTGGTCATCTGATGGACACCACGGAAATAATTAGAATCTTCCACCACCCCGGAAAATCTCCAAAAAACATAAAGGCAAGAAACAGTTCTATTACTGAGTATTAAGCCAAACTAATGTTCAATCACAGGCGAATTTGCCAAGAGATAGCAAAGATAAACACTCACCTTTTAATACAGCCAAGCAGATACATTCCAGTCCAATTTTCTAAGATAAAAGATGACTAATGACAAAAATTCTCTCCTTGACCAAACTTTAGTCAAGCTTAGGTGAGCCTGACTAGGCCTTGTCCTCATGTCTTCCAATAGTCTGATTTTAGTAAGAGTCATGGTAAGTGAGCTTAGCCAGAATCCCTCATCCTAATATATGACCAATCTTGACATCTGATCTGAGTTCTCATTCTCCACCGTCCCCCAGGTAATATGTGACCGACCATCTTGGCCTACCTTCAGCAAAAGTCCTGTTAGGTCGGTTTAGCCAAAATACCACCCACTTACCCTCGTTTCATCTCAGCAATTTTTCACACACTGACCAACACCCCACGCCACACAACACCCTGCTCCCTGGCTATAAAACCCCACTTCTCCTTACTTCATTTGGAGTTGACCCCAATCTCTCTCCTACCACTGTAAAACTCCATCACATTAGTCCCTGTACCTATCACATAGTCCTGAATCAAGTATGCCTCACCATTTTAACAAATGTCATGAATTATTTTTTAACACTAGCCCTCAAATAGGAAAACCTGACACCACCATTTGTCACACACATGGTTTATCCTAAACTTACCTGGAAATAGGGACAACCACCTGTGTTAACTGCCTCTCTCTGAGGGAGGAATAAAACTTTTCGTACCTCTGTGACAGGCAGATAGTTACAAATTGGAGCCAGACACCTAAGTTTAAACTCTCATGAGACAGGGAGACAGGGGAGCTATCTTCCTTGATGTTTATACTTGAAATTGGTGATTCTCAGCCCTTAAAAAAAAGTATTCCTGAGCTATAAAACTGGCTTATTAGGCCTTTAAAAAGATTTATATTCATTACAAAGGGGCAGAGAAATAATTCACCAGTTTTGTAAAGGAAAACTCCCAAGAAAAGGAAGGAAGGAAGTCTTCCTTTTTTCGTCAAGGACAACTAAATCTTTTATTTTTTCTCTTTACCCTTAAATGAACAGCAGCTCAGCTTCAGGCACTACAACATAACCACTTTTATGAGGGCAGTATCTTCCTCACAGAAACATCTTACAATGTTAAGAAACTATCAGAAAACAAAAACGGTTCAATACCTTCATAACTTCTTCAAGATACCGTGTTGAACTTCCATTTGCGTATGCAGTTTGTACAACACCAATATTCAAACTTTCTCCAATCTAGACAAAAACAATGTTACTTGCTATCAAAAGTATGGTGTACAAAAACATATAATGAGAGTTCTAAATGCTAACAAAATTATCAGCTAGTTCAATTGTACCTTAGTTTATGCAATAAATGTCTGACTGAATATTTACATGTATACCAGAAAAAAGGCCTAAAATACTTTTGAGCACTACTTAAAGAAATTCTATGAGAAATCCTCTTTTAAGAGGCCTGTATCTCCTGATCTTTACCTCTCTAATGTTTTAAATAAAGTATCTGGCCAGATGCGGTGGTTCATGCCTGTAAACCCCAACATTTTGGGAGGCCGAGGTGGATGGATCACCTGAGGTCAAGAGTCTGAGACCAGCTTGGCCAAGATGGTGAAATCTCATCTCTACTAAAAATACAAAAAAACAGTCATGGCAGCATCCACCTGTAACCTCAGCTACTTGGGAGGCAGAGACAGGAGAGCTGCTTGAGCTCAGGAGGCAGACGCTGCAGTGAGCCAAGATTGTGCCCCTGCACTCTAGCTTGGGTGACAGAGCAATACTCCCTCTTAAAAAAAAAAAAAAAAAAATTATCTATTGAATTCTTAAAGTATACATTCTCCAGATTATAATAATTTTCCTATACTTAAAGCTTGCCTGAAAGAGATTTCTAAAAAGCAAAGTGAAACAAATCTCACATTAGTAAACTTATAGTTAATATCTCTCTCAGATGACGAGATTTCCTATTAGAATTTAGGGCTTCAGGGAGTGACCACAAAACTCTCATTAAAGTTTCAATTATGAAGGAAGCAAAACTTCCTACAGCTTCAAATCACAATACTTGGCCAGTATAAGGAAGAAAAGAATACCTTCAGGTTCCAAAGCCAATGCCTCAAGTGTTCAAATGACTGGAATTACCATTGCTCTTTTTTTAATTTTCTGACCACTAATGTAAGAAACTTGTCACAAATTATGCCTTTCTGACAAATGACTGTAAAATATGGAACTATTTCACTAGTAAGTCTTGTTTCAGAGGGTAGCAATACCCCACCATACCTCCACCAGGAGCTCTTTAAGGAAACTGCTAATTAACGTTGCTATCTTGTCTCCATCTATGAGATGAAAATGGCCATCTGCATCATGGTAGTAATAAACAATTCTGTCTGCATCTCCATCAAAAGAACAGCATCTTTCATTGGACTTAATTTCCATTCCTAGCACAGAGGATAATTTAACATGCATTTCAGTCTACGAATTTATTATAAAGAGTTTTAGAATTTTCTCTTAAAATTATCCTCCTAAAAATCAGTGTCTTAATCTTTAAATAGTACATAGTTGATTAGTGGTTTTTACAGGTCAAATTCATTCACTGCAAAGTGAAAAAAGGAGCATTCAAAATCTATTTA